TAAGGTTGATCTGGTTTTAACAAATTCCCTTAGTTTCTGCTTATCTGGAAATCTCTTAATTTCATCACCATATTTGAGGGACAGTGTTGCCAGTTATATAATTCTTGGTTGGAAATTTTTGTCTTTCAGGGTTTTATATATACCATCCCATTGCCTTCTCGCTTGCATGGTTTCTGCTGAGGAATCAGAGCTTATTCTAACTGGTTGTCCTTTGTAAGTCATTTTTCATTTTTCCTGTGCTGCTTTTGGGATTCTTTCTTTTGAGTTTGATGATGGTATGTCTTGGTGATTTTCTTTTGGGGTCTATCCTGTTTGAGGTTCATTGGACTTTCTGAATGGATATATTCTCACCTTTCATCATATCAGGGAAATTCTCTTCCAACAAATCTTGGACAATTGTCTCAGTGGTTTTCTTTTTCTCTTCCTGTTGTGGAATTCCAATGACATGTACATTATTCCTTTGATGGTATCCCACATGATCCTTAGGTTTTATTCATTTTTTTAAAATCTTTTTTCTGATTGATCCCTTTCCAAAGACGTATTCAAGTATTTGTCTTCAATGTCATTAATTCTGTCTTCCATTGATTCAATTCTACTCCTTTGCACTTTCAATGTGTTATCTATTTCTGAAAATTTAGTATTAATCTTCTGGATTTCTATCTGTAGATTGTAAATCATTTCTAATTTTTCATTTATTTTGTCATTTTGTTCTTGTATTTTCTTCCAAAATTCTTCTAGGGTTTTGTCTGTGTTTTCCTTAATTTTGTCAGTGTTTTCTTTGATATGTTTCTCAATCCTTTGAACATACCTAAACATAATTCTTTTGAATTCTTTATCAGGAAGTTCCAATGCTGCTTGTTCCTCAGGGATATGTTCTGGGTCTATATTCTACTCCCTGTTTCTACCACTTTATCTTGCTTCTCTGTTTGAACTGTGATAGTCTGTTGTTTCTGAGACATTGTGACGTTGTTGTATGTAGATCTCTGCTAACTGTGAAGAGCAGCTAAGAGTGTGTCAGGCTTTTCATGGTGGTCATTTATCATTGGCCAATCAGTGGAGAAGGGAGTGGTGGCTCTCACTTAGTAAGTGAAGCTGCAGGAGGTGTGGGTGTAGTTGTTTCATATGGTCACTGTGGCTGTCTCCAACTCAGTTAGCCAAAGGTAACAATTGAATAGCCATCTAAAAAGTAAATGCAAGCAGACAAAAAACA